CCCCACCTGCCTGGCCTTTCTCCACGGGCGGGGGCGAGGGCCGGAGAGGCACAGGGACTCACAGAAGGTGGTATGGGGGACATTTCTGCTGATCAACTCTATCAAGGAAAACCTACACATGCCCAAAGCTGTAAGACCCCTGCAGATGCTTGGAAACGTCCACAATCAAAAGCTAAAGGAAGTATTTCTACGGAGCCCTGGCCCATCACAGAGCCTGGGACCCTTTACCTGGAGACACGCAGCCCCCAGAGCAGGTCCCCAGAGCAGGACCGGGATGTCGGGTGGAAGGGAGGGCGTGCTCTGAGTTGGTTTCCCTCTGGGCCCCTCCAACACCCAGCCCCTGGCTTCCATCAGCCGCATCACCACTGGACGCAGGAAGCCAAGCTGTGGGTGCTGACGCCTAGCCACCAGAGCCCACCGTCCCCAGTGCCATCCCCAGCGCCGTCCCCAGCGCCGCCCAGGCAGTAACACTGGCCTTCAACCTCCCCAACCTCCCAGGACGACATCCAGGCCGATTTAAATATTTTGAGTCAACACCACTATTTACTATCAAGACTCCAGTGGATTTGTACCTCATGCTAGTAAAAGGCGACCCAAATTAACCTACAAGCCATGTTCCTGAGGCTTCTTTAAAAATACGCTGAGTGAGGGGCGCCTGGGTGGCTCGGTCGTTAAGCGTCTGTCCTCGGCTCAGATCATGATCCCAGGGTTCTGGGATCGAGCCCTGCATCGGGCTCTCTGCTCAACGGGAAGCCTGCCTCTCTCTCTCCCACTCCCCCTGCTTGTGTTCCCTCTCTCGCTGTGTCTCTCTCTGTCAAATAAATAAATGAAATCCATTCCCCACGATCTTCACATAAGAATCACGAGGGTTAGTTTTGTGTTGGATTCAGTATGGATGTCAGAGCCCTGCTCCTGCCAACACACACACCAGGTACATCCACCTTGCTAGTATTTAAAGCTCCTCATGTCTGCCAAGGGCATGGCCCGAGTGGAGAACTCAAATATTCCTTCGACCTAAAGTAACACTGGAAATTAAGTTTCAAGCAACCATTTAAGATTTTTATTTTAAAATATTAATAATGGAAGTGTCGTCCTGTGTTAGCACGGGGGAAACCCCAGCACTGTGGCCATGAAGCATCCCCCCGCCGCTAACCTGGGCACCCCCATCACGTGGCTCCACGGGATCCCCCTGCAGACTCCGTGGTTCTCAAGGTGCAGCCCCTGGACCGGCAGCAGCCCCCTCCCAGATCCCCGGAGGCAGAATGTCCGGGGCAGGCCCCATATCTGGTTTCAATGAGCCCCCCAGTGAGTCGGATGCCCTCGAGTTTGGAGATCCCAGGAGAGGTGGGTAAGGAAGGGTCTGGGTCCAGACAGGAGTTCCGAAGCCCGAAGTGTCCCTGACTGGCAAGCTCGGGGCAAGCGGCCTAGTGTCTTTTATTCCATACTTGCTCACCAGAAACAGGGCTAGGGCGGCCCTTCCCTGGAGGTGCGGGCTTGGGTGGACTCAGGGCTGTGGCCTTTGCTGGGATCCCCGCACAAGGAGCCCCAGTCAGCGGCTCTGGTTCCAGCTCCCCTTCCCGGGCCCTTACCGAATGGCACTCCATCGGAGGCTCTCGGGGGTGCGGCGCCACGGAAGGACCAGAAGCAGGCGGCCCAGACGCACCTAATGGGGTGGGAACGAACAAAGGGGTGAATAAAACGAACAGTTTTATTCACAGACAGCCTGTGCCCTCTCTTCCGTCCATATCTGTACTTTGTGCCCAAACGAACGAAGGACGCAGTTGGCCGCACACTGATGGAAAGTTCCTTCTATGGTTTTTTGACTGTGTTTTCCAAGTGTGGGGCCTGGTCTCAAACCGTGACTTGAAACAGATTGCTCATCTTACTATTAAAACAGCCTCCCAGGTGCCTGGGGGGGTCAGTTAAGCGTCTGCCTTCAGCTCAGGTCATGATCTCAGGGTCCTGGGATCGAGTCCCGCAGCGGGCTCCCTGCTCAGGGGGGAGCCTGCTTCTCCGTCTGCCCCTTCCCCCCACTCATGCTCTCTCTCTCTCTCTCTCTCTCTCTCGCAAAAATAAGTAAAATCTTAAAAAATAAAAATTAAATAAAAAATATAGTAAAACAGCCTCCCTCCCTCCCTCCCTCCCTGCTCCCTCCAGCTTCAGCACTGAGGAGCAGAGAGCAGAGCAGGCCAGACCCGCGGCCCCCCTGCCCGCCGCACCTCCCCGTCCCCAGCCACCCTCCTTCCCCTCTGCATGGACCTGACCCGCCACGGACTAGAAGGGCCGGGCCAGCGGGGATGAGACTATGCACCGCGTGATGGTCGCGAAGCAACGCGCCAGTGTGTCCCTCCCGTGTAATCCCCACCGTGGACCAGGGAGGGAGAGTGCAGGTACGTTTTAAGGTGAGATCGGGGCGGCTGTGGAAGGCAGGCAGCTCCGCTCAGCCGCACCGCCTTTAAACGTGATGCCTCCAGACACAACAAGTCACTGCAGTCTCCCACGTGCCCAGAGGGGACAGAGGGGACGCCTGCAGAGCTCAGGACACAGCTCCAGCGGCCCCGTGTACAGTGGTGCACAGCGGAGCACGTTCCTCTGCTGGGAGGCCCAGTGGTGGGGGGCCCCACTGGCCATTCCCCTACATGCTGTGGCCTCTCAGGGCCAGGGGCACCCACATCTGCGTCCACGGGGCCGCTGGCCTTCCAGAAAGATCCAGGTGCAGTGAATCAAATAGCCCTGAACCAAGGTGCAGGGACTGGGGTCTTGACCAGACATGGCGTGCCATTCGGGGATGCTACCCAGGCCCACCGCCCCCTCCAGGGCCCCATGCATCTGCACTGCCGGTGTTAATCCTGTTCCCGAGGCTGGGGCTCGCCTCCCCGTGAGAACACGTGCAGACTTTGCAGCAAGCGGTTTCTTACCTCTCTGTGCGCCTGCGAAGCGGGGAGGGTATACACTTTAATTTAAGCAAGGACTTCTGCAAAGGGAAGACTATTTTTACGAAACCAGCTTCTTGATGCAATGACCAGGTAGCTGCCAGCAGAGGGCAGACGAGGACCCCTTATGGAGACGGGCGGGGGTGGGGTGGACCAGGGAGTTCTGACAAATGGGGACGGTCCCGGGCTGAGGGCCTCTGTTCAGCTGCTGAGTGAGTCACCCGAAGGGTCTCCTTCCCACCCCTGACCACACCTATCTCCCACAGGCCAGGGAACTGAGAAAAGGAAAAAGCAGAAACGAGACTGCTTGGAACGGTGCACATCCTACAGCAAAACTAGAGGAACTTCTGCGAGGACGGGCGGGGGACGGTGCAGATCAGACCGGGAAGGCCCCAGGGGACCTCTACCCACTGCAGGCGCCTGCCCCCCAGGCCTGCCCCCCACGCAGATGGAATCAGTTAGTGGCCATCGAAGCTCCTCACAAGGAGCCACCAAGACTCCACAAGCACCATGAACGAGAGCTTCCGCTCCAGAGCTGGGCCGGGCGGCCGAGCCCAGGACCCCACGGGGGCTCTGACTCTGACTGCACCACCCCCACCTGCCTGGCCTTTCTCCACGGGCGGGGGCGAGGGCCGGAGAGGCACAGGGACTCACAGAAGGTGGTATGGGGGACATTTCTGCTGATCAACTCTATCAAGGAAAACCTACACATGCCCAAAGCTGTAAGACCCCCAATGTGAACAGATGCAGCAGCGGGGAGAGCAGGAACCCCCCCATGTGAACAGATGCACCGGGGGGGGGGCGGGGAGATCAGGGACCGCCCCATGTGAACAGAGGCACCAGGGCAGAGAGCAGGACCCCCCATGTGAACAGACACACCAGGGGGAAGAGCAGGACCCCCCCCATGTGAACAGACATACCAGGCGGGAGATGAGAGACCCCCCGCATGTGAACAGATGCACCAGGGGGAAGAGCAGGACCCCCTTGCCATGTGAACAGACGCACACCAGGGGGGAGAGCAGGACCCCCCATGTGAACAGACATATCAGGCGGGAGATGAGAGACCCCCTGCCATGTGAACAGATGCACCAGAGGGGAGATCAGGGACCCCCCATGTGAACAGATGCACCGGGGGGAGAGCAGAGACCCCCCGGCCAACATGTGAACAGACGCACCTGGTGGAAGAACAGAGGAATCTGCATCTGGCCAGGCCCTGGGGGGAAATTGCCCAGAAGCGCTATCTATCCGCTTTGCCTTTAGTTCTTTCCCCGTGTTTGTTCCTTTGGTGGCTGGGCTAGGAGTCTGTGCCCTGGGAACGCCCCCTGCTAAGGTCCTTCAACAGGATCAACCCCCCACCACCTCCTGGGCAAGAGTCGCCCGTCACAGAATCCTCAGAGGCCGTGGCTGTCCCGTGCCTCCGGGTGGTTTCCAAGGGAGGGACCGTGCCCGTGAGCCCTGTGGCTGTAAGGGGACCACGGGTCCTATGAGGAAGAACTCGGGACTGCAAGGGGTCAGAGATCACGCGCATATGGCACAGTTTCACACACTCACAGACACGAGCACACACACACACGCACACGTGTGTAATCACACCCATGTGCACACTCACAAACAGGCCAGCGCACACCCAGACACACAGCACACACTCATGATGGATACACAGAAGCACACACACAAACAGGCAAACATACATGGGCAAATACACAAACACGTTAAGCCTAACTCCGTGGAATACTCCTTTTGAAAGAAAAAGTCCCGAGTGCACCCTTGAAAATACAGCTTATCAAAGTCCCTGAGACCAGCGCCGCTCACCTCTCCGGATCATCAGAAACGCCTTTCAGGGATCCCTGGGCCCTCGGGACCGAGGTCCTTCCCGGTGTCACTGGGTCCGGGCTCTGGCCGCAGCAGTCAGCCCGCTGGCTTCCCCCTGCGTCCCCTGGAAGACAGTGGTCGGGGGTGAGCTTATGCTCATACCCGGACATCCGTCCCACATGGGGGAGCGGAAACCCTGCCAATAATATGCTCCCCACCGAAAAGTTTGCTTTCCTAATACTTCCACAGAAAGCTTCTCTTATTAAGTGCAGGGCTCTCTGTGAGTCGGTCTGAACCGGGCCGGCACTCCAAGGGAAGAGGGCGTCTGGCGGCGGAGAGTCAGAGAAACCCCAGCACCCACGACGGACACCATGTCAGGGAGGAGGACTGACGGGGGACCGTGGCCCCTCGGCGCCGCCCTGTCCCTGCTCCCACCTGCGCCCCACCGCTGCTCACCATTCCCGGGGCTAGCCTTGGGATAAAAGTCTCTCTTCTTCATCTATTTGTCAATTTCCTTAATTCTTTATGTTGACGTTCTAATTGAATAGGGATTTTACAAAAGTGAGTTTTATTTCGTGTTTTCCCTAGAAAACTAGACCACTTTTCTGTCTGCTCCAGGAGTGTTTATGGGTGCGCAAGGCCCTGGAGAAGACAGGGTGCCACGTGGGGGCACGTTTGGTGGCAGAAGCTGGTTCCCAGGTGGGGAGGGTGGGAGGGTCCTGGGAGGAAGACTAAGGAGGGTGCCAGTTCCCAGAGCAGATTTCTCACAGTCCTGTGATTTCTAGAGTGTTGCTGGGGCCCTATGATCGGGCAGGTGAGTACATAGGGCCTGGAGCCCCTGCTGGGTTCAGGGCCTGCACGCCCGCCCCCTGGCCTCCCCAGCGCCTCCAAGCCCCCTTTGGCTCTTCTCTGCGGGGAAACTGTACTTTCCAGCTTTACCACTAAAGGCTTTCAAATGAACTGTGCACACAGGAAGGATCCACTGCAATCAAATACCCACCGAGCTGGCAAACAAAGCCCTTCTCCAAAGCTCTGCAGCTGTCACCTTCCTGGGGGGATATGAAGGCTCACCTCCACCACCCCGAGCTGGCATTAGGCAATACGCTCCTGGGTGTTCCCTCCTAGGTGGGCCCCAGGGTCCGGGGTTGAAGCTCCCAATATGCTGGGACACAATAAGGAGCCAAGCAGTGACCCACGGAGAAGAAATGTCCCTGCGCCGTCCCACACGCCGTAGCCGCCTGGGGCTGAGTTTCATTAAAATAAGATTCCATGTCTCCATCACGTTAGCCACGTTTCAAGGGTCAGTGTGGGACACAGAACATTCTGGGTGCCAGGAGACCCTGCAACCGGTGGGGGGCTGTGGGCCAGGCCGCCCTGGGAACAGGAAGCGTGAGGACGCAGGGACGCCACGGAGGTGAGGGTGGCCCGCTCTGCAGCAGATGGGACACTGTCATAGCAGTTTTTAGGACAGATGCTCCGGATGGAATCAGTTAGTGGCTTTAAGAAACAGACATCGAAGCTCCTCACGAGGAGCCACGACGACTCCGCCAGGGAGTCACCTACCTTCCTGGAGGCTTCTCCCCACAACTTCCCTGCACCAGGACTGAACCCCTGGGAGAACCTTCCAGAAGGCAAAGTACCCAATACAGCCTTCCAATCTTCTGTGGCTTTTGCTAAATTTCAATGAATAAAAGCCACCTATTTAGAATTTTTTTTAACTACAAATTCCGTATTTGGGATTTAATGCCCAGTGCACAAGGGCAGCATGGTCCACACACCGTACACTTCAGTGCAGATCCGGGTTCTGCTGTGACAGCATGACTCCCTACCCCCTCCCTGCCCCTGGATGGAGTTTAAGCTGGGCTCACACCTGGCACATTACTCCTACCCTCATGTGCCTTCTGCTCCCAGAGGCCCCACCCGCGGGCATGCACACACTCATTGTCCTCTTTAGATGCCCCAAGCCTCCCCCACCAGCACACACAGCATCAGAGCGGGGGGTGAATTCGGTAATTGTGTTGCAGGAAAGGTGAGGGGAGCTGCTAAGATGTTGGTAGATGGAGACTTACCTTCCCTTGAGCTGACCCCAGGAAAGGGCTGCAGCAAGAAGAGCAGGGGCAGGACTTGCAGGAGCACCCTCCAGCCCGGACCCCCACAGACCGCTCCCATGGGGCCTCCTGCTCACACCCCAAACCGTGGCAGGCACCCACAATGGGCCTGTATCACCCGACAGCTCTCCCCTGTCCCAGCAGCAGAGGGCCTGGCCCTTAGCACCTTGCCCATCGGCCAATAGGGAGCTTGCTAGGTGGGGGAACTAGGGTGTCACCCACCCATTACCCGCCCCCCCCACCGCTGCCCTCCCCCCATCGAGGCCTAGGGGCATCCGCCCCTCAGAGGAGCCGTCCTACCTGGTGTGAACGTGCAGCGGAAAGTGTATCCAGCCAGGGAGGCACCGTATGAAGTGGGTGAGGGTGACAGCGAGGGGGCGCCCTGCATTCCCAGCAGAGGCCAGGACAGGACGCTGGCAAAGCCCTTTTCCAGGTATGAGAAACATCTGCTACTCCTGCCGCTAGAAGAGCGACCGTCCTACACACTCAAACACTCAAACACTCGCTGAGTCAGTACGCAGCACCTGTCCCTCTAGAATCTCTTCTCCCCACGGGCTTCAAAAGAAAATTAAATATCCATAAACCGGTATTTAAACACCCTCATAAGTGATCAAGTCCAAATGCCTGGGGCGCTC